TTTTTTTCATTCACAGCTCTTTTCAATTTAATCAAAGAGGAATTTTGCCTTTGTTGCAGTGCTGCAAGCTAGCTCCATTCAAAAACCTGGCCGTAGCCAAAAATGATGCACAATAGTTGTCTAGATTCCAAATGACGCTGAAGGGGACAAGTACTCTTTTTCAGTTCCCTCAATGAAAACACTGATTCTTACTATTTAGAACAGTAAGTTATAGTATGCTCAGATCCTGTGCTTTTTTGTTGCTGTTTGTTCAAATAAATCATGTCTTTATATTTGCAAATTAAAATTAGTTTTAGTTATGAAGGGTGAAATGATAAATACAAAAGAAAAACCATCAATCACTCAGCTATGTCTACTAGTCATTATGAGAGCTCTACAGCAATCTGTGCATGTAGATCTGCGTGGGGAAAAGGACCATGTTACTGCAGACTGTCACTGCCCTGGGCCTTTGATTTAAATTGGCATAGGATCTTGGGAGAGAATTAGCCTTTTATGTTTGAGTTGTTAACAATCTGCTGCCTTTTCTGTCTAGAACCAATGACTGGTAATTGTTTCTTTCTCTTGGTTTGTTTTTTTGGGTTGTTTTTGGTTTTTTGTTTGTTTTTTTGTTTGGGTTTTTTTGGGGGGAGTTGTGGGAGGATGGTGGCAGTGGTTTTTTTGTTTTTCTATTAAGGATGTAGAGAGCAGTCAAACTTTTTTCAGTAACTGTCAAGTATTATCTGCTGCAGTACAGAACAGGCATTTTGAGTTGGACAGTAGAAGATTTAATGTGCAAAAGCATATTGCAGCTGCTACAATTGACTGTATTCTGCAGATTGTGAAGCTAAGCCATACTATAGGATGGCAAGATCTTTTTTTTATTGTCTTAAGTTGCTGTGTTTTGTAACTTGTCTGCCCCTCCTCCTCCTCCCTCAAATCCCCCTCTTCTAGAAACAAAGACGTGTTTGTTCCTTCTCTGCCTGTGAGGTCTTTGCAGCCTCTGCTGTGTGGGTGCAGAGCCCCTTATTTAAATGCTTCCCATAGCCATGGAAGGTAAGGAACAGGGTGGATTAGAAAACTAGTGAGTCCTAATTCTAATAGATAAATGAGGCTCTTCGCCTTCTTTAGTTCAAAGTACTTAAAAAGAGCTGTGCCTGTCAGGATCCTGGCAAAGCCATGAGGTGTAGAAAAAAGAAAATGTTCTCTGAGATCACATTGCTTAGCATATTCTTTAGAGTGCAGATTTCTGCAGTCATGTCCTCAGTAAGCAACTGAGAATGACAAAAACCCTAACAAATAAACAAAAAAAAAACCCCAAAACAACCCGAAACCAAATTAAAAAAAAAACCCCAACAACAACAAAACTTTAAACCCTGTGGGTTTTTTTCATGTCACATGAAAGAAGATGTGTTTTCCCTCTTTTCATTAAATATTCTGTTGGAAATTACAGAAAATTATTCTTCTGTTTCCCTTGAAGATATCACACTTGTGTAGTCAGGCAAGATGGCTGAAAATCATTTGGTGTTATTACTGTTGGAGTTTTTTTTCACTGGTTCTTCTCTGGGGTTTGTTAAGTCAGTAAAATTCAGATAGCAATGTCTTCTTTTACTGTCTAAACTTTTAGTTTAATTTCACGGTTAAAAGTAGTTCCCTTACGTGAACAAACATCTTCATGGTCTACTTTGAGAACAGTTTCAAATCTTGTCAGTTTGAAGTCTTGCACTTGTGTTCTTGAAATACTAAAAATGCTCAAAAGTCTTTTTAATGGATTCCTGAATAAGAATTTAGAAACTAGATTTGTAGGCTCAGTTTCTGAAGAGTTACCAAATCGTGTAGTTAAATTTTCCCCTGATATTTATTGGTGAACATTCAGTATACACTGAAGTCTGAATTTCTTATAATATTCCTGGTTTAGATACACTTTTAGTTAGAAACATTACTTTCCAAATGGACATTAGAAGGCATTTTGGGGATCTAGGATGATGGAATAAAATAAAAATCATCAGACAAACATGATTTATTTCTTACGGTTTTAATTGCAAAGTCAGTAGATGGGTAGAATGGAGCAAACTGTGATCAGAGACAACAGGGGTAATAAAAACAGCTGTCAGAAAGATACAGGTATATAAAATATGAAGCACTTCGCATGACAGGGAAATAATTTCCAAAGCTGCACGTTAGTGGAAAAGAGGCCTAGGGAAGTAATACTCATGTGGTGCATGCAGGAGAAACAAATTGATAACATGTTGAAGGGATGTCAGTGTTGCACTTAAGTGTTTAAGTAAGGTTAGAAACTCTTAAATTTATATGAGGTTATCTGTAACATGACTTGGCTGTGAACTGCTAAAACAGTGATTATATAGTTGCAGACCAGACCACAAAGGCGGCCTTTTTAACCTAAAGAAAACTTAAATTCTTCAGCTTTCAGTACTTAATTTTTACAAGCCTAGGTAGCTTGCTTTTAACTTAGATGTGCTTCTTTCAGGTGACTGTAATTTTCTAAGCTTTGTCCCCCTTTACTTTCCACTGTAATTGCCCTTCCATCTTGTTTAATAACAGGCTTTGAATCCTGGAGCTTCTGAAGGGTAGCACAGGCTTCAGCTTGAGTTGCAGAATTAACTAACATCAGGAGAAGGTGGCTGTTTTCTGTTGCCCCCTCTTAACCCCTTCATTGTCTGCTTTTAAGGTGAAAGAGGGTAAGGTATAAAAAGCAAAAGGCATGGTCCTGGTTCAAGGATTTTGAGTAAGAAGAGAGAAAGCAGGAGATGCATTGCCCACTCCAGCAGTGTCTTGTCTGTCTTGTCCAGGGCTGCGGGATGGGCTGCCTCTCTTTAGCTTCAACTTCAACCTAATTTGGTAAATGCAGGTAGTGTCATTGCTGTCACTTTTCCAGCAGAGGGTCCCCAGTGGAGGTCCTGGGGCTTGTAATTACAGTTCACTGCTCACATCCTTGCAGGAAAGCTGTTGGAGCTGGTGAAACTTCTGCTTAACCATTTCTGTTGTCCTGGGGCATGTGAACCTTTGTGTCTGTGTAGCAGAGGACCACGGCTCACATTGCAAGGCTGGATGATTGGCTCGTCCTGACCACCTTCTTCCTGAAGTTCAGTTCAGATAGCGAAGTGGTGCTGGACGTCTCATGAGACGAGCTGCGTGATTTTAAGCTTTAATCCACAGCAGTGTCATCTTCCCACTATTTTTTTCCCCACTGAGTCAGGATGGCACTTGCAAATTGGAGTTGAACCTCCAACCCTTTGTATTCACTGTTTTGTTTTTACTCAGTATTAGGATTTGGTTTCTATTCCTAATTCACCTGTTCACTTACCTTTACTGGGAGTTTTATCTTACTTGTGATCATACATATGAAGCTCTCTCACAAGTAACTATGTAAGAGATTATTTCAAAGTACTTCAAACTACTTGACAATTTTATTTTGTCTTGACTCGTGAAAATGTGACCTACCTGTCCATTAGACTATTGACTGTGTGCTGGACCTATGAAATATGTGAAAGGGTAGAGCTGAGTTTTGCTCCAGTAAGCATATGACATTTCTTCTTCATATGTTCCTCTCAATGGAAAGATGAGCTGTGGCAAGGATAAAAGGGAGAAAGGCTATGAAGCAACAGCCATTTTTACTGCTATTATGAGATAAACATATTTAGGCTTTCTTGGAACAGAATAAAAGCACTACTGTACCTTAAGTTGAGCACTCAATAGACAGTGGAGACTGAAGGGCTTTTCAGAGAAAGGGTGGTACAGATTCTTTATGAGATAGTTCTCTTTTCTTATACTAGTTAGAAGTGGTAGTGTTTCAGGAATCCTCTGTATATGATGTAAACATTACTCCTGAACTAATGCAACAGATGGTTTTCTTTGCACCAAATCAGCTTGTCATCCTAAAAGAAGCTCACTCCCTTTTATTTCCCATAAAGCATAATCCTCATTCCCAGAGGGGGGGAAAAAAAATCCTTACCACTCTCCCATCACTGCTTCAGCAAATGCATGTTGCAGTGTATTGTGAGTGTTAACAGATTCAGGCTGTTCCAGACAACAAAATGTGGTGCTATTTCCAGAAACTGAAGGCCCCTTAAAAGAGTGTCCTTGTGATACATTCAGCCTTTCCCAGCTCTCTGTTTCACTATGGGAACTCCAGTGCTCTGTTGACATACTGGTCTCATGTGGGGGAAGAATCAGACCTATCAACTACATGCATCCCAGTCATCATTATTTTATAAAATAAAATTGTCTTAGGTTTTGCTTTTGTGGGGAAAAGGAAGATGGGTTCTCATTGTGCATTAGGGGTACAAGATGACACTTTTTCTTCTGCTCAGCCCAGAAAAGATGCATCGTGTGCTTCTGTGGGGTAAAAGAAAATTAGGCACTAGCAGAATGTTTCTACGTTGATGGCAGTATTGTGGGCTGTATAATTCATCTGCCATTTCTGTACCAGCTCTAATTTTGCATGTCAAGGTGCCCTAAATGCAGTTGGTAAAACTCAAAACTTGATTCACACTTGAGGATGGTTGTACATGGTCTGTACCACACTGAGAAAAATGGTGGCCTTTAACCAGACTGAGTTTGATGTAAGTGAGATGCTCTGTTTTCTCATTCTGTGCGTTCTGGAGTTTTATGATTCCAAGTTTCACATGAAAAAGAAAAGTGATTTTTGTATTATTTGTGTATAATTTAAGAATAGTTTGTTAGGAAGAAGAGAGATCCTTCCAGTTAAACTTGAAATATTTTACTACAACTTTTGAATTTTTCACCAACTTACACATTAAACTGTTTTCAGAAGCTTATAGAACAAGTACATACTCTGATACCTGAGACTGTTGCATTGATTTCACAGGAATAACACATCTGAGCACACATTTTACACTGAACATAAGTGTAGCTGCATGTTTTGTACTGTCTTGACTTGTAATTTTATAAAGTTTTTAATATATGCCTTCTAAGGATAATAGTTCCCTTGCATGTATTTGTTTGAATTTAATTTTTAAATGTTTATTGCTTTGGTTCCTTAGCCATGAATCAGCGAATCAGCCAAAGCGCTCCAGTGAAACAGCCACCCCCTCTGGCTCCTCAGAGTCCCCAAGGTGGTGTGATGGGTGGGAGCAGCTCCAACCAGCAGCAACAGATGAGACTTCAGCAGCTACAGATGGAGAAGGAAAGGCTGAGACTGAAGCATCAAGAACTGCTTCGGCAGGTGAGGCCACAGGTTAGACACCTACTTCCACTATTTCTTTTGTATGTTATGTTTTGTTTTGGCTGAGTTGTTGTTCCAGTGAGTCTTAAAGACCAGAGACTGCACAAAAAGCTAAAGGTCTGAATTCATTCTGTTACTGGTATCAGCTTGGTAGTGAAAGCATCTGACTTACCAGACTGAAGGATTTTGCTTTCCTTCTTCATTCCGCTAACAAAGCTCTCTGAGAACAGGCTTCTTTACTGTTAGGATGGTATCATGGACTGTTGATCGGATTGGTAATTCCTCTTGAGAATATAATTCATATTCATTGATTTTGGAGTCATGCAGAAAGGCAAGAAGAAGTTGGTTCCCACAGCTGCTTTAGTTCTCCCTTTTAAGTGAAGGAAAGTCTTTCGCTCTTAGAACCTGTCGCAGTCTGTAGGATTTCAAAGTAATTTTTACAGTTTATATAAAATACGCTGAGAAGACACCTTGTTGCTAGAAGTCTTACCTGTTCAACAGTGGACTAGAGCGTGGAACAACTGAATCGTGCTCCTTTTTGAACCTGTGGTTTTCTTATGCTGAAGAATTTAAAACTTCATAATTAGGCTGCAAGCTATTCCTTTCAGTATTTTTCCACTATATGAATATACCTGGAGCAAATGTCAAAGTGTAGGGCCGGACATTGGAATCTCTGGATTTTCAATTTGGGCTTGACTTCCTTTTAACTCTAAGCCTTCTGCTTTTGTTTTTCCATCTGAATGTTTTAAGAGTTACTACCATCTGTGCAAGGTACTTAGGATATTCTTTGGTTTTTTGACACTGCCAGAGAAAGCACTAATCTCTTCTTTGAGGAAAACCTTCTAAAATCTTTCCATGTTCCCTTTTCACTTTGGGTGATGGGCCTTGTATCAGGAGAGGATAATATCTTAATGTCTTCAAAGACAGCTTTTCTCTTTCTTCATCACCTGCAGTATTCTGTCCTGGAATCTGACTCCCGTTATCTCTTTGTAGTCAAGGCTTGTTTTGTAGGAATCTTCAGCATCTCTTGGGGTAAGATGGGTCATCTTTACAGCCCTTCCTTTCTATAGTACTCTAGGTAAGAATACATTGCAAAGGTGGCATCAGGACTTTCTCTCTGCTTAAGCACCTGGGTTTCTGCTGTTCCTGCTTTGCAATTAATTCACCAACAAACGTTTTACCCTGTGCCAGCATGCTTCTAGGTAGGCCTTCTAAATGTCGTCTTACCTCAGTTGTCATTGAGAACCTGACTAACTTTGGACCAGGTGAGAACCAGTGCCCATCGTCTTGTTCTGCCTGGTCGTTAAGCTTCTCTGTCAAATATGCACCCCTTGTAAATCTGTGAGTTTTGTTTCACTGTGTGTGATTTTCGTAGTTTCATAACTCCCTTATCCTGTCTCATCTGGCCTGTCTTGGGGGCTTGATACTGCAAGGTGGTGTTTATAAGACAGCCTGCATAGGCAAACCATGCAGCTAAAGTAATTTTTATCCATCTTATTTTTACTCTTAGGCATTGCGGAATATCAATCCCAGCACAGCAAATTCTCCAAAACATCAGGTAGGCTCTTAACTGATGTTTCAGCATAATTAGAAAAATGAAAGCATTAAATTAGGCTAGCAGGAGAACCTTTTGCTACATGAAGGCATTCTATAAAAGAAAACCAACCAAACAAAAAACCCAAGCTCTGCCATAAACATTTTTGAACCAATTCTTTCGTCGCAACCCTAACGCTGTTTTTGAGAGTGCTGCATTACCACAGCATCCTTATTTAACAGAAAATGAGGAATTCATTGCATATTTTTCTGCACTGAAAACAACCTTCTTGTTTAGCATTCTTGAGGATACTGCTGTTCCAGTCCCGATATCATCAAGATATGTAATCCAAAGCAAATCTCGCATTGTAGCTAGGATTGTAGTTTGTGGCTTTTAAGTACTGTTCATATGACTGTTCTCATCTGTTTGTTTAAACAGGTATGATCTTAAAGAAGGATATCTGTGATCAGTCACTCGAAGTATTTATTATTTTTAAGCATGTACAGTGTAATAGAATTATTTAATAGATAAGACTAAGAAAAAAATTGCTGTGGGGATATAATATGTAATTATTCCATGTTGACATTTAACAGGCTCCTGCACAGATACATTTTCTATATAGGAAACAACAGTTCTGAAAAGTCTCCTCAGCTCAGGCCAAAAGAAAATTGTGAAATGTGAAGTATAATAAACAGCTTAATGCAGACTTCTTTTAGGCTCTTAAGAAGTTGAATATGGAATTAATCTCTGAAAGAGTGGAGTTATAGTTATGGATATATTCAGATAGTTTCTTACTTGCTATTGCTAACAGTATTCTTAATCTACCAGTTCTATCAATATTTGTATTGATTTGTACCGTACTTTGTTTTTCTAAGAAAAAGCACTATATGCACTAGGCAAGAAAAACAGAATAGAAGAAAGTATCCTGTGTTTGGAAGCCTTGAGTACTGGTGTACTATTGCACTCTGAAGAGTACCTCAAAATTTTTACATTACTAGTTCTCCTGAGAAAATCATCTTTGAAATAGGAACCCCAGACCTTAGAAACAGTACTGACACCCTGACAAAAATACTTTCTTGTCTGGCAATATACTTGCAGCTCTAAAACTGAAGCACTTTAATTCAGATGTAATAATTTGCTTAATTTACAGAGCATTAACCACATAATGCTCTTGTAGATCAATGTTAGATTCTGTTATGGAGGAGGAAAAAAATTCTTAAGAATTGCTGGTATACAAAGGAATAAACAGAGACGCACACTCCTCCACACCAGTTGGAAACACCTTATCTTCTGCCACGGTTAGGTCATTCAGAAGGGATGTTTTTCTTAGTGAATGCCAAAAGTGTACTCTGTGTTTTCTTGTATGCCTGAAGCACTGTCATACAATTGTTCACTCTTCCACAGTAACTTCTTCCTGTTGCCAGCTCAGAAATATGCAGCAAATGGAGAACTTTGGCATCCGTTTCATACTCAACTAAATAAGATCAGATTTTCAGAACTTGAAATTCAGGCTTAAAACACTGAAAAGCTGCAAAAACTCAAAGGGACCTTATTGATAATTCATTAAATGTGTATGTAGTAGTCACTCTGCTTTGTTTGGGATGGGAACTGATGAAAGGATTTATGCAAAAATCGGGATTACATTTACATTTGAACTGGCTTCATGCCAGGCTCACTTGTAGACTCACCTGCCTGGGACCACTTTTATTAGTCTGCACTTGTTAATGACTCAAGCTGTGTTTGAGTGATCTGGTGGATAGAAAAGTAGGCAATCATGTCAACTTAAAACTTCTGTAATACTAGGTTATTCATGTTATATCATCTACATGTATTTTTTTGTTTGTTTTCTTGTGTCACTTCAATAATGTAGTGAGCAGCCACACGTCGAAGAACGTACTTAGAGAACAGCTTCTGGAAATTTGTTATTTAAATGCTTCCTGTGGCCTTGTACTATAGACTCAAATGTTTGTCTTCCCCAGTGATGCTATTTTTGAAGTCCCAGTCTGTACATCCTCCCAGGTCATAGTCAACCTAGTGAATCTGGGAAAAATCTGCAGAAAGAACAAACATTTCTTCAGTCAACTTTTTCTTTTTGACATATCCTTTCTTTCCTTCATTAATAAAATTAATGAAATTTAGAGGAGTTAACTGTTTTCATGATGATAATCTGTGCTTAGGGTAAGAATAATAGCTTCTCTTGTTAATTTTTAGATGTTCTTTTAAGGAATACTGAGAATAAAAATCTTCATATCTTCAGAGTTCTTAATTCTAGGAAGACTAAGTGTACTTTAGAGAGGGATTGTCAAGATCTTCTATTTGTAGAGGAATTATATGACACCAGCATTCTTGAAGCTTGCCTCTAATGAAGTATCTCTTTTATATGGATTAAAAAAAAACACAACTGAGAAATGTTCCTTAGCTTTTAACTGAATCTGAGCTTTTCTTAATCGCAGAATCAAATAGGTTGGAAGGGACTGGTGGAGGGCAACTAGTCCAGCATCCCGCGTCCAGCCCAACCTCTTCTTCCTTCTTGATTTTTGTCCACGCATCCTGGATACAGCGCCATGGTTGTACTGGTATCTTCAGTCAGTTCTTTTTGGTACTGAGTCAACATTGTGTCCTTACCAGTTTTGATCTCTGCCATGATACTGTAGTATCCTGTAGTGACACTAATACTCAAGAGTGCTATGTTTGGAGACCTTAGCCCTTAAATATCTCCTGGAAAGATTAAACAATTGTTCAGCTTCATCTTCTGTAGCAAGTACTGTAAAAGATGCGTCTTGTGAGGGTGTGTATTATTATTATAATTCTAAACATGTCCAAGTCAAAGGTATTTGAAACCAATTATAACTTCCATATTTACTGTGTATAAACAAGAGCTGTTGATACAGAGAATCTGAAAGCACAGAGCATCCATCCAGTTACTGACGTTCATCATCATTAATTATCTATAAACATCTTGAAGATGCCTACTTGTCTTAAAGAGACTAAGTGACTTGACTTTCCCTCTATCCCCAGTAGCTCTCCCGTTTTTCTGCAGTTAGCATCTGATTCTTACAACGTCTCACCTAAAGTAGATGTCAGTCAACTTTTGTATAAATCAGAAAATTGGCTAGATGTTAGGTAATGTATTTCTTGCCTTCCAGTGTACGATGGGAAGAGAGAAAGGCAAATACTGTTGAGGTACTGATGGCATTATTCTTGGATGTTGTGCAGACTTCCTTGTACTAAGACTGGAAGGTTTTGTATTTGTCTGCCATTAATACTGGGGCATTTGCTAGTAAGATCAGTGTACTATGCAGCCATTTATGTGATAGATTCCTCTGTATATGCTTGCTCATTCTGTATCTGCTGCTTGTTTCTAGCACTGAGTAGAGATTCCTGTCTGAGAACCAGCTGCAGCCCTACTCAGTTGTGCTTTCCAATGTGCCTTTCTGTTATCTCTATGCTGCTTTCTTGAGAGTTCTGCATACCCAGAATATACTCTTTTCATTGTCTCCATTCTTTTGTCCTTTGTATCTTACAAAGTACCTCTCATATTCTCTGTCCTGTCGTCCTGGACTTCTCAGCTTTTGAGTGACATTCTGGAAACTCCCCTACTGAGTGAAGAATCTGCAAAGACACATGGCCAGTCTGTCTGTCACTGTTTGCTGAATCACTTCATTTCGTCTCGTATTTTTTTCAGATTTGCTCTTACTGCATTATTACTGTTTTTCAATAAAATATTTTTTCAGTCATTCTGCATGCACAGTAAGCAATAGAAAACTGTGTTACTGTCAGACTTGTGACATTTTCTAGAAAGTAAGGCAGGCATCAGAAAAACAAGTACGATCTTGAATGCAGTACTCTTGAACTTCCACAGTGTCGGTGAAGCTGGAAGTCTTACTGAGGACTTAGATTTTGGGTTATGTTTTTTTTTCCTCTTTGCTGTAATATGTCTTTGTACACAGGTATATTGTGTTATTTAAAACTTAGTGGAAAATGGTAGGCAATAGTCATTTTAGTTTTAGTGAATCCCAAACAGTGTTGTCCCTTGAATCGCTTGTTTCCAATTCCTCTGTGTGTTATCTGAAGATGACGTAGATTAACATAAATGACTTGTCTTGGTTTCATCAAGCGTATTCATGTTGGAGAGGGGTTTGGTGTTGGTTTTTGATTGGGTTTTTTTGGTTGTGTGTTTTGGTGGGGGGTTTTCGTGGTCTTGTTGGGGTTTTTTTATGCCTGTGGAGGAGTCGTAGCTCACTGCAGTGGCTTTCCCAGAGTCACTGGTGCTACTTGCAGTTGCAAAACTTAATCACAGAATTCTTGCTCAAGCAGTTGGTCAGCAGAAGACTTGAGTCACGTTGACCTGACTGTGACATGGCTGTGAATAACAGCTATTGCTGGAGGCAAACCAAAATTGGTAGAGGGAGGCCATCCAACTCTGCACGGCCCTCACGATTGCTGACTTCTGCGGACTCGTACCTGCCTTCCTGGTGCTCAGAAACACCCAGGCTGGGCAGGTGCAGGACTGGAGCCATGGGCAGGCAGATAGCAAGAGGAGTATGAAGTGGTGGCACAGCAAAGGACTGCAAAACCAGACAAGAAGCCAGATTTCTTTCCAAAGATCTATTCCAATTTAAACTGCCCTATCTGTGCTTTGCAAAGAAGTTGCTTAAAAGCTTTTGTTCACAGAATGTTTATGCAGAAGACATTGCGGAGCATTGAGGTCTTTGCCAAGTGTATACAATACAATTAACTGTGACTCTATCAGTATCACCTCTTAAATTTATTTATTAGTTGTTTTCATGATTGCAGTACTGAAAGATTTATGTTTCCCCCATACTCTTCACTAATTGCGTAACTCCTCATTGCTGAATTTGTTTGTCTTCATCTGTCCATGTGTTTTCCCTATTTCTTTTGCAAATATGCTGTGACGTTGTGGCCCTTAGTAAATACTTAGTCTGAAGAAATAACTGATACAGAAAGTCTACCCAAAAGTGTCATGATCTGCTCTTTCCCCAATACTTCTCTCCCATCCCAGTGAAGCCTGTGGATCGTTTGTTAGTTGAGCAGTATCTGGGGGCAGAAATATTACAATTGGCCCTTTTTAAAGTAAATTTACTGAAAAAAACCCCCCAATTATAAGGATATACCAATTCAAGTTGAGTAGTATATCATGTGTTTAATACAGTAGGAATATGATACGTGAGTTGGACAAGGGAGTCTTTTGCCTTTCCTCAAAAGCGTGATGAAGATAGAAATAAAGAGTAATTTCATAAAGTTAATTTGGACATAGTGTGAATGACCTGGAACTTCATGTAAAACTTAATCTGTATGCAATTATAAAAAAAAAGTGGTTAAGGTCAGCCAGATAAATTATACAATGTTGACCTTGTTTAAAAATTACTTTGCTTAAGGAGATGACAGATCATTTTGGTTTTCTATGCAATAACCAGAATTCAGCTTTTGTGTTAACAATAGGAATGCTAAGCTTTTCTTTTCCCAGGGGTACTTTAAAAAAGTTTGACATACTTACAAAAATAGGATGAGATCAAGTTCTTGAAATCTAAGCCAGGATTTTGTCATGGTTTTATTTTTGCCTCCAGTCCTTAAATACTTCTAATAAAGGATATATTTTAAAGCATGAACTAAAAGCCTGGAGTTCACATGGCTCTGGAGTTGGGAGAGGCTTATACACTCCCATACATTTTTTTAAGTATCGGGAACACAACTCTTTCTATTGAAGATAAGTTTTATAAGGAAGAAGAAAATAAAAGGATCATTCTTCAAGCAACACACCTTTAGCTTCCATTGCCTGCACCTCTTAGGAAAAGTAGTCTTAATACACTCTTTAAGGCTTGTAAAAAAAACAAACCAAAACAAAACCAACTTCGCTTGTCTTGTGAGATGATTAAAAATTGCTCAGTATTTGTTTCTTAATAGCTCATCTCTTTTGGTAATTCCTTTCTCTTTCAGACGCACAGATTGACAGAAATCTGTTACTGGAATGAGTAATGGAATAACATTCTAGGGGGAAGTGCTGTAGTTCTGCCTCCTGAATAAGGAGCATTAATGCTACTTATAAATAGTTATAAATAGTTGAGGTTTTACACTTTTAGCACTGTTGTTGAAACAAGGATAAAAGTAGTACCAGTACTAAAAAGACTTATTTCACTACATTGTACTTGCCAAAGAATAGGCAAAATACTGTTCTGTCTCCTGATTTAATACATCTCTACTTAGCAGAACTTCAGTGAAATGTGATTTTTCTTTTTTAGCTGGCTAGTATCTGCACCACATTTATTTTTACTGTACTATTTAAATTCATAAATTGATAATACTTAATCTCACCTGCCCTCTTAAAAATTTAGAAAATATGAAGGTAACTTTCTTATTTTTCCAAATGGCTTATTCTTTTATTTTATTTTTTTTAAGGCACAAAAGAAATCTGTGGGGTTTTTATTTCTAGTGTCAGTAGCTCTTAAAAAGGTGACCCATGTGGATTTCTTGCAATGCACAGACCAAAGAAGAGGGAAGGGAAAAAGGACCTAACATTCTTGCTGCAGCCAGGTGGAGTGGGCAGGGAAGGTGTAGTGCTGTATTCTGAGTATGAACCCAAGGCTAAAAAGATTCTGGAAGTAGTGATGCAAGTGATTTTTTTTTTAATACTTATTTTGTTTTCCCTTCTCCTTTTTCACTGGACAAATAGCAAGCCAGAATTAGTTAAAAGTAGCTACATGACATGAAGGCAGTTTCTCAGAGAAGGGAAGGTTCAGGTGACATCTGGAAGAACTCCAGTCTCCAGGCTGTGATGTGAGCGAGCAGTTCTTGAGCCATGTCTGGGATGGCTGCTCTCAGACCTTCTCTTCTGCCTTCTTCAGATTGCTATTCCAGGAAAGAAAAGTTTTCTGCCTCCTTCCCTATTCTACCACCTCCTTCTTTTAAATAGATGGAGTTCACCTGCATATCAACCTTTTTATATCAAAGCTAATGTGACCGACAGAAGTTTGTAAACTTAGTTGTGAAGTAAGACCTCATTATATAGTCTTTGCTCTTGGTTTTCTTATATAAGCAAATGAAAATCATATGGATAAGACTGTAAAATGATTAAAAGGTGGTTAATGACCTGTGACATGAAAATGAGGAGAAGGAGTATTATTACTATTTGTTAGAACAGCGGCCAAGTGGTGGTGAGCAGCAGACTGGATTTACTTGGAGTAGGGAGTTGGGTGCGACGAACACAAAAACCAATGGTATGTTTGTGCACTTTCCGCAAAGGTCTGATCTGCTGGAGTGAGGCAACCTTCTAGTACAAGACATGAAACCTGGTATTAAAGTAATATGTAGAAGAATAATCCACGGGAACGGGAGTGAAGCATATGCAGATTAGAAAAGGAAAAAAAACAAACACAGATGGTAGGGAGGCATCCAATATTTGGCACAATCTGCTGGAAAATAAAATAACCTTAGACATATTTTACAAGAGATCACTTTGAAGAAGAATTAGTGAAATACTAGTTTTATGTATTTAAAATCTACAGTAGTCATTAGGCTCATAATTGAGAATGGATGAAGACCTCCCATGCTACAAGTGAGAAATAATGAGTGTTGTCAAACCTGACAAGATTGTATTTGCTTGAGATTAGCTTGGAAATCACATATTACTAATAATGGTAACAAGCTAGTCAGTAGATTTCTTTACCAGGCTCTACATTAACAAAGCATAGACTTGGTGAGCCATTGGTGATGATTTCGAAGAGTTTCTTGAAGGTAATTATTGTATATGTGTAACTTACAGATTACCTGTTTCAAAAGGGAGAGAGAGGGCTCTGGAAATTGTGTAGTATGCTGCTTATCTCCAATCAGCTTTAATTTTGTGTATTTTATGTAAAATTGTGTATTTCATGTTATTTTCATTAAATAGTAATGACAAGCTTTATGGATGGATTGATTATAAAGTTGCTACGCAGTCAGATGTGTGAAAATACTTATGTAATCTATGTTCAGAAGTGCGGTGTCTTAGCTTTGCAAAGAACATGCTAGGGATTTCAGGAACTTTAAGATTTATGTATGGGACAGATCACTGATCTGATCAATCAGAAATTTCAAAATGCATTTCCTCAAACAGGAGGAGTGAATGGGAACTTGCAGGAAAAGACACTAAACTTTGCTGAATGAAACAAGGAAGGTAAAAAAGGAAACGAGGGACTAAATGTGAACTTAAAAGAAATGGGGGAAAAGTACGAGTCAGCAGAGCTAGACAGATGTTTCTTAGGGGCCAGATAGTGCTAGCAATTCGTTTTGGATCTTAGGAATAGACTTAGTAAAAGGATATTGAAATGAACTAGGAAAGATTTATGTAAACATACAGATACTTCGGTGCAAATGTATTTATGAATAATGTGTCTGTAATACTGGGCTTGACTGTAATGCTGGACTTTCATTGAAGCCAGTAAACATTCTTGCTTTGTCTTCAGAAACTTAATTTCATTTAAATCTTGTAACTGGAAACAGTAAAAGCATCAATTACCTATAATGTCATACGTTTCTGTATCTGAAAAGTGCATTCAAATGCCTAACATAATCTTTCTCCCCCTCCCCCTGTTGTAGGAATTGGCTCTCCGTAGCCAGCTTCCAACCATGGAACAAGACGGTGGATCCCAAAATCCCGTGTCATCTCCTGGAATGTCTCAGGAACTGAGAACAATGACTACAAATAGTTCTGATCCCTTTCTCAACAGGTTTGTAGGAGTAGCTACTAGAGGGGGAAAAAAATTGATTTAAAATTCTGTTTGGTACATGTAATAGTTTATTTTGAATATTTGCCTGTGCCAAAAGCCACAGCTGTAAATGAATCTTTCCTTAAATGGCAAGTCTAGTAAAAGTTAAGGATTAAAAGCTGTCTCCTGTGGGAGGAAGTTGTCTGTTCAGACTTGCAGGAAGGTTTTTTATTCAAAGTCATAGCATGTTTGCCTCTGCATAATCTGTTGACTAACAGTCATTTCAAATTACTGACTCAAAAGAATTTGTGAATAGCTTGCTATAAGATCAAATGAACTGCAAGGCACATTTAGGACTGCACCTTGAGGTTCATTTTAAGGTTTTTCTATTCACCCCTCCCTTTCAAGTATTTAATTTAGCAGTATTTTTATTCTGTTAATGTTAGGTCTGCAAACAGTGGCATGTTTAATTTTAAATGCTGTATTATTTTGAAGTGGGTCTTTTAATTTAAGATTTAGAATTTTACAGTATAGACTAGTTGTCATATAACTTTTTTCTCAACCTCTCTGAGTTGGAGTGTTTGTTTCGTTGGAAATACTGTTCTGATTACAGTTTGCAAATGCTTCATACTAACCATCACAACTTTGGAGAAACTGCTGCAGCTTGAGATAAGTTGTATCTGAATTTTTTGCTTAACATGCTGGAAAGAAAATATGAAAATGGTAAAACAGTAAAATCTCCAAGCTACATAAACTTTTGATCAGTAGAGTAAAAATCTAACATTTCAGCACCATCAAGTAGTTGATCTTAAGTTGGAGTAGTTAATTATGTAGTTCCTCACTGGACTGTATTTTGTCAGCATTCTAAACTGATACCAACTCAGCATCCACTACCATAAAAGAAAGAAGTTACGTATTCTGTCAGAGTTCATCACTACTTTTCTGCATTACCTTGAAATGTTAGCCTAACTTCAGGATGCTTACTGTAAGTGCCCCTGAAGTATAATGTGCTCTTCCTATTATACTTGTGGAAAACCCCATGAAATTAATCTTTATTCTTTCAATGTAAATCTTAACTTCCATGGTTTTTTGCCACCAATACAGTCTCAAACCAGCTCATAAGGTAAGAAGTTCACATCATGTTAGAAATGGCATGATTTTGAAGTAGGACAAGCTTAAATACCTGTGCCATAATTTTAGATACTGAGAGCTGTTAAAAACTTTGTAAACCTTTGCTGAAACAAGAAACAAGGAAAAAGCTAGAAAGGGCAAATACATGTTTGTAATTTTTTGGCAGGTTGATAATTACTAAGGACTACTTACTGTAAGATGCAAAAAGATACTACTTGCCTAGTTGCAAATCTGTATAACTGGGCTTTTATTTGTAGCCCTTACCCCATGCAAAATACTGAAAAATCTGTACCTGGCTTGAGTTCAGAAAATCTTAATTTGCATTTTGGTCTGAGCATTTTTCCCTTCTAGGTAATTTTGTGTACATCACTGCACTTAATTCTGGCATATGAGGGAGGGAAAGGGATTTTTAAAAAGGTTATTTGTGGATATGCGTTGATATCTCTGAATTAGATACAGCAGTCCAATAGTATTGCCATAAAGATCTCTTTGATGTCCCTTATATTAAAGTCCAGACTTTAGAGAAATGCTTCTTTCTATCTTTATAGAGTATATATAAAGTTTCTGGTGAGACAGTCCTCCTAACTTTAGGTAGCAAAGTTGGATATCCAGAGTTTCAGTAGTTGAATATTTTCCACTGCCCACATAATCAGAACATCCAAAAAATTTCAAAGTAATTGCTACATTGGAGCAATTTGAGAAAATGTACAGTAGTGTTTTCATTTACGTAGCCAGCCTTCTGCCTACTGTCTTCAGTTCTTACTGTCATTGTGCTATATATATGTTTGTTTTTTTTATGGGACATGCAGCAATGCAGACTTGATTAATTTCACCTTTTAGTTTGCCACTCTGTTTCTATATTTTTGTCTATTAGATTTATGCTGGTAGTGACGGTAATTCTCAGTTTAATTCCTAAATTGGGATTTTATTCTTTTGTATACACATATTTTAACAAGTATTAGTTGAAGAAGCATCCACTTTATTTTGGGAAATGCAATTTAGTTGTGTGTGGTAATTTTAGGTGGTATGACTACTAAATGAAGAAACCCTTGTTGATGAAAGAGGAAATGTGTATTAAGGAGTGATTTGAAGAGAAGGGCTGGACATTCCAAGTGTGAGAGAGGCAGCCAAAAAACCTTCTCAACTACAGTGATTTAGTTCAGTATAGTCTCAGTTCTGTTTTCAGTATTTTGTCCCACAAAGTAAACCAGCAGTTTTTTCACAGAAGTTTTAAATAGCTTAATTATTATTGTTACTGAATGTGGGGTGATACTATTTTTAAATCAATCTAAAAAAGAAATATTTACAATTTCACTATAAGGAAATGTTAGGTTTCTTTCTTTTATAGCAAAGATGTCTTTGTGAAATGTTGAACATATATATATATATA